GTGGCTTGTCCATTCAACAAGAAAAATTCTTCGTCATTGCAGTATCAAAGAAATTCTAATAACACTGGAAGGGTCTTGCACAAATGTCACTTCTATTTACAGCCAGTTGGCTGGAAGTAGTCAAGCAACTCTACCTAACTGCAAGGGAGTTTGTAAATGTGGGGAAGCCCACGGAATAGCTGGCAGGCATTTCTGCCTCTACCATGGCATCTCACCACCTTTCCACATATTGTGGCCTCCCTGTCATCTCCCCACCCTGACTCCACATACTGGATCAAGCATTAGATTATGTAGATGACGATCAGATCATCACTGAGTACATGATACTTCCAAAATCATGGATCTGGTTTGAGTGTTACCTTGAATCCCTTGCTTTTAGATGAGCCACAGGTCGAAACTATCCAAGATAAAGAGTGGCTTGCTGCAGAAGCTGCAAGATAGTGTCCTGCAAGGGTAAATTGTATGATAGGACTGGGTATGTAATTCTAAACTTCTGACTTAAATAATCGGAAGTTCTGGCAACAGAGGCCCTATATTTGTGCATGAGGTCAACCAGCTGGAGCCAGACAGTAGCTACACACCAGAGATGGCCCTTCATTCCTGGGTCTAACCCAGTCCCCATCACCTGGCAGCTTGACTCAGTCATAGTACCTGCTGGAACCCTGTAACAGGTAGAATCTGTGATCCCTGCATCTGGATATGCACAGTTAGGATCCTCCACAGTTTTATCACCCCAAAGATGGAGTTCTTTCTTCAATGTAACTTAATTTGATTTAATTTAATTTTCTTAGGTATAATTGAAGATGTTTAATTTCCTCCCTCTTATTTAATCTGGATTTAATGCTCTCTTTATGAGTCTCTTAGTCATCTTTTTGGTCAAAGCTGAATCACTCCCTTTGACAGTCCATGTCAATCTTATTGGGACACTCTCATTTTCCCACGTCCTTAAAAGATAACTGGAAATCAACAGACAACGGAATCAAGATGTTAGAACTGAAATATTGCAATAAACAAAACTCTAGTCTGAAGTGAATGGAGTGTGTTTTGACCCTTGCAAGTTAAAAATTGTTGTCATGTTCCTTAATCTACAAGGTTTTGTCAAATTTCTTTGGGCTTCAAGTCACATCAGTTCCTAGACTGATTGCAGGAGTACACCACCCTCCCATCCTTAGGACCAGGCTAAGAAGGAAGCTTGGTTAACCTCCGCATCCTCCGCCTGCAGCAACCTGACTACAGTAATATTTGTGGGTGCAGCTCCAGGCACCTTCAATTTAATAGGAGCTCATTGACTCCTAATCAGCAGACTTGCTTTACTGTGTTTCTCTTTCTAATAATCGGGATTATTGATACTGATGATAAAAGCAAGCACTTACTGAATTTAAATTGTGCCTGGCATGGTTCCATGTGCTTTACATGGTTCTGGTGAAACTGACAACCCTATGAGGTAAGTACAATTATAATTCCGTTTTATAGAGATGAAATAGAGACTTGGGACTCTTCCAAGATTGTACTGCCAGGAAGCAACAGAAATGGGATTTGAACTTGGAAAGGCTCATGTTCCAAAGTCTTAATCATTATGCTTAATCATTGTGCTATGCTATGTGTGGTACAGCATGGGAATATTTGGGATTACTAAAATATTTCTTTTACTTTTTTGTTTTTGAGACAATGTCTCACTTTGTTGGCTAGGCTGGAGTGTAGTGGTGCAATCATGGCTCCTTGCAGCCTCAGTCTCCTGAGGTTCATGCGATCCTCGATCCTCCCACCTCAGCCTCACAAGCAGCTGGGACTACTGTCACACACCACCACACCCAGCTAGTTTTTGTATTTTTAGTAGAGACAGAGTTTCACCATGTTGCTCAGGCTGGTTTCGAACTCCTGGGCTCAAGCGATCCACCTGCCTTGGCCTCCCAAAGTGCTGGGATTACAAACATGAGCCACCACACCCAGCCTGAAATCACTAAAATGTTGTTTGATCTAAATGCATTGTTTTGAATGTTAGGTTACTAGTGATTAGGGCTCTTCTAGCTCCATTTGGCTAGTGTAGGGAGACATCTGGTGGCCATACTGTTTTTTAAAACTTTTCTTCATGGAAAACTTCAAATTAATACAAAGTAAACAGAATAGTATCATAAATCCCCCTCTATCCACCACCTAGCTTTAACAATTAACATTCTGCCATTCCGTTTACATTCATACCTCCAGCCAATCTCCTCCTCTTCCCCACTTATTTTTTACGGTTCTTTTTCAAAAATAAATTTTACATATAGTAAAATGCACACAATTTTAACAATTTATCTTGACCAACAGATACACTCATGTAACCCACAGCCCTATCATGATATGGAATGTTTCCATCACTCCAAAAATATCTTTTGCCTGACAACTTGCCAACTAGACAGCAATTGTTCTGATTTTTCACTGTGGATTAGTTTTGCTTGTCCCAGAGTGCCATATCAATGGAATCCTACAGTACGACTCTTTTGTGTCTGGGCTCTTTCACTCAGCATAATGTCTGTGAGAGTCATCCATGCTCTTGCGTGTACCCGTTATTTCTCTTTTATTGCTGTCCTCCTTCTATTGTACAGATGGGCCACAGCCATTCTCCTGTTGATAGGGATTTGGATTGTTTCCAGTTAGGGGCCCTTCTGAATATAGTTGAGCATGAGTTGAACTTCATGTTCAAGTCTTTTTGTAGACATATGTTTACATTTCTCTTGTGTAAATACTTAGGAGTGGAATCGCTGGATCAAAGAACAGAGGCATGGTTAACTTCATTAGAAACTGCCAGATCTTTTTCCCAAAGTGATTTTCTTTGCATTCCTCCCAGCAGTGTGAGAGAATTGTCTGCTCCGCATCGTCACCAGTATTTGGTGTTGTCAGTGTTTTTAATTTTGACTGTTCTGTTGGTATCTCATTGTGGTTTTAATTTGTGTTTCCCTGATGACTAACAAAATGTTGACCATTTTTCTATGTGTGTATTGCCAATTTGTCTTTCCTCCTTTGTGAAGTGTCTATTCAAGTCTTTTGCCAAATTTTCACTGGGTTTGTCTTTTTATTATTGGACTGTAGATGCTTTTATTCTGGATACACATTCTTTGCGGCTATATATTTTGTGAATATTTTCTGCTGGTCTGTGACTTGCCTATTTTCTTAACCGCGTCTTCTAATGAGAAACTTTATATTTGATGAAGTCTGATTTCTTATTTTGTGTCTTTTATTATTATTTCTTCCTGGCTGTCATCTAAGAAAACTTTGTCTTCCCTTGGTTACAAAGATGGTCCCTTTGTTTACTTCCAGTAGCTTTATATAGATTTTAAATTTGCATTTAGGTCTCAGATGCATCTCAAGTTATGTGTGTGTGTGTGTAGTGTAATATAATAAAGGGACTGAGATGCATTTTTACTTTCTTTTTATTTTATATTGATGTATTTTTAAGTAGAGATGGGAGTCTCCCTGTGTTGCACAGGCTGGTCTCCAACTCCTGGCTTTAGGCAATCCTCCTGCCTCAGCATCCCGGTGTGCTGGGATCACAGCTGTGAGCCACCACACGCAACTGCAATTTTTTTCTTTCTATAAATATCTAGTGGTTCCTGCACCATTGGATGGAAATGTTTTCCATTTCTGTGCTGAATTGTTTTGGGACCTCTACCGAAAATCAATTGCCACACAGTCTTATTAAACACAGTCTTATTCTAGCTTTGTTTTCTTTTGCAAGATTACTTTGGCTATGCTAGAACCTTTGCATATCCATATGTACCAGTTGTCAATTTATTGCCTCTCAGATCCAAATTCACTCTCCATTACCTGCTGAGCAATAACAAACTGCACGCTTCAGGCATTTCTCCTTAAAGTGAACACAATGTCATTTTTGTCACTAGAGGGCACTAGAGGGACATTGCAAAGGCAGGCAGCTTCTCTTCCGGATGTCCTTTACTATGTTTTGCTTTCTCTTGTTTTCAGACTGTACATTCTGCTGTACAGTGGTATGTGGGGGGGACACACACTAACTGTGTGCCCAAAGCACATAGTCCATCAGTGACCTCACAGCTCTGGCCAAGGGCCTGGTGACCACTTTGTCACAGCCCTCCTAACAAGACATTACACACTCCAGGCTTCATAACTACTCCTGTTCTCTCTCCCAACGCACACCTGCCCTCTGGCCGCAGCTTGCCTGAGCCCTGGAAGTCTGATTCCCTTGGCCCCCTCCACAGTCTCCCATCCAGCAGCGCCTGTGCTCAGGAAGGTCATTCCTGGTGCCTGCCCAGTGACCAAACCAGCTCCGGCCCTGGCATCCTGGTGAGATTCTTTGCCATCCAATGGGCTGTAGCCACACCTTCTCCAGTGACGTCTGAAGCCCATCCTTGGAGAGGAACACTCCAAGTTTATCCTTCCTTAAATACTCCTCTGTAGCAAAAATTTCCCTTTCTGGCCCAAACTCCTCATCACTCATGTGGGAATTACAAAGTGAGTTTACATAATTAACATTTATTGAAATAAAGAAAAATTAATTTAAAAAAAATTCAAGCTTGACTGATCAACATAAAGGAAACATTAATTTAAAAAAACATGTAGTGAGTACATGGTTGTCAGGAAAACAAGTCTGGGTATGTTGTCTAGGTTCATTTTCTGGCTCCATCTTTTGGCAGATTTTGGGCATGGCTTATGACATTCCTATGCCTCAGTTTCCTCATCTGTAGAATGGGCATAGTAATAGTATTTCATAGGGTCAGAAAGAAGATCAAAAGAAACAGCACAAGTCAAGCGTTTAGAATAGTACCTAACGGTAAATACTTGGTTCCTGTCAGCTGCTGTTATTCCTATTTTTTATGATTATGATCTCGTATCCCCAACCATATTGTAAACTCTAAGTGAAGACAGCATAAGTTAATGCTGGCTCTACTATCCCAGGGTTTAGCATCTTGTTATTTCCATGCATTAGACGTGTAATAGATATTACCAAATAGAAGAGCTGCTGAAGAATGTTCTGTTTCCCGTAGAAAGAAGACGTGAGGAGGAAACACATCCGTTTGCACATGGAAGGGGCGCTGACTGCCCGGGACAAGGTCGGGGTTCAGGATTTTGTGCTATTGGACGCATATACCAGCGAATCTGCCTTTGTCGACAACCTCCGCAAGCGTTTCAACGAGAACCTCATATACGTAACGTGATCCATTTCTCAGCTGTTTTTCTAGCGTGGTTGTTTCCTTCTTGCCTTCATGACTTTGATGAGTGTGAATATCACTCTATTAGGTCAGACATAAAAGGGAGATACTGAGGCGCCACTCTTAGATGCACTTGGATCCTTTGTGCTAAGACGTTTATGGCTGCCCGTGACAGATACCCAACTTACACCAGCCTAAGTCACTAAAGGGAATCTGTCCATGTCTGTAACTGTAGGTCCCAGGAGTAGATCTAGGGTTTCAGACGATGTCTGGAGACTCTTTCTCCATCTCTGCTCTGCTTTCTTAGACATCCATTTCCTTCTCAGGTGCATGGCAGCAAGATGGTTGCCCTCAGATTCCGGCTGTCATTTTATCAGCTTAGGGTTGCCACTGAGAAGCAGCCCATCCTCTGGCGATAAGCTCTAGTAAATGGCCCAAGCTGATGTTGATCAGCTCTGATTGGTCCACTTTCCGTCATGTGCCTGTCTCTGAACCAATCCCATGGCTAGAAATGAAGACTATTCTGATTGGCCAGGCTCTTACCAGGCCTGCCCCTGGAGGTGAGGGGAGGAGTCGGAGCCCCGGACGGTATACACAGAGAGCTGGGGAAGAGGGTTACCCGAAGGACTTTGCTGGAAGAAAGGGGCAGAGATACCAAGCAGGCAAAAATAAAAGCTGTCCAGCATACCCCGTGAATGGTCAAGGGTCAAGAATGAAGCACTTACCAAACTCTTCTCAGGTTGATCTTGTCACATCTAGTTTTTATTCAAAAACCAGTTTTTGTTAAATTCCCATTTATCACCATGCTCTGATTTGGTGGTCAATTTTCAGGTAAATTCCTCTAGGGTAAACTTCATAGTGTCCCTGTGTGTGTCATGGGTGTTATTAAAATTATTTAATTTTTTGAGATTTTATTAGCTTTTGCCAAGAGTAAATTAGACAGAAGCGGTTAAAAATATTTGTCTTGTAGCTATTTTGTTTGTAATGGTGCTCGTGGCTTAATCTATATATTGAAACCAAGGTTACCAGAAGAAATAAACAAGGTGTTTCTTAGAGTACATACCCTACAGCCTGACTTTCAGAATTATCACCCTTAATTGTAGAAATAGAAAAAAAAAACTAATTTTATATACAGGAAAAGGAAAAATGACATGGTACGGAGAAGTACAAATGGCATGATAGGATCATCGTGATTAAGCTAAATGTTTCTGATTTGAACTGATAAATTTCAGAAACTGTGTCTACCACCCTAAATTTCTACTGATTGAAGTAATATGGAGTTTTAGTGAAAATTCTCTGCTTCAATTCTATGTTTGATTTTTGTCCTGGAGATTGGAGACATTAGTTAGAATGATTTTGTGTGTAATCTATTTTTTTTTTTTTTAATTTGAGATGGATCTTGCTAAGTTGCCCAGGCTAGTCTTGAACTCCTGGGTTCAAGCACTCCTCCTGCCTCAGCCTCCCATGTAGCTGGGATTACAGGCACACACCACCACACCCAGCTATTTTAGCATAATCTTAATATAGATTTAGTGCGTCCTGTATTTGAAACAGCTACACACTGAGAATCTGAGAATATCAGATGTATTTTCCAAGGAGCACATTAATTTTTTTCTATATAAGAGTGTGGAGCTCTTTGTTTATTCATAATTGTATTTCAAAAGTCTTATGTTAGTGGTTATATTATAAATATAAGTAAGTACCTGAAAAACCTGAATATGAGTAGAGTCTAATGTTGAAATCTGGGAATATAAGTGCCTATAGCAGGAGTGTTTTGCCCAATTTTAGAAGGTTTGTAGGTATACCCATCCTATTTTCTTGTTTGTTTGTTTTTTTCTGTTTTTGTTTTTGTTTTTTCCTTTTTCATATGGAGTCTCACTCTATTGCCCAGGCTGGAGTGCAGTAGCCCGATCTTGGCTCACTGCAACCTCCGCCACCCGGGTTCAAGCAATTCTCCTACCTCAGCCTCCCCAGTAGCTGAGACTACAGGCACCTGCCACCACCCCCGGCTAATTTTTTTGTATTTTTAGTAGAGATGGGGTTTCACCATGTTGGCCAGGCTGGTCTCAAACTCCTGACCTTGGGTGACCCATCTGCCTCAGCCTCCCAGAGTCCTGGGATTACAGACGTGAGCCACCGCGCCCGGCCCACCCATCCTACTTTCACTCAATGCCAGAGAGACCTTTAAGAACCATGCATCAGGTTACGTGCTCCCCTCTTAAAGTGATCCATTCACGTAATGGTTTAGGGAGGTATTTCTCTTTTTTTGTATCTTCAACTTTTAACTTCAGGGGTACATGTGCAGGATGTGCAGGTTTGTTACATAGGTAAACGTGTGCTGTGGTGGTTTGCTGATCAACCCATCACCTAGGTATTAAGACCAGCATGCATTAGCTATTCTTTCTGATGCTCTCTGTCCCCTGCAATAAGCCCCAATGTGTGTTGTTCCCCCCGCCTCACAAATGTGTCCATGTGTTCTCATCGTTTAGTTCCCACTTATTAGCAAGAACATGCAGTGTTTGGTTTTCTGTTCCTGCATTAGTTTGCTGAGGATAACGGCTTCTAGCTTCTTCCATGTACCAGCAAAGGACATGATCTCATTCCCTTTTATGGCTGCATAGTATTCCATAATGTATATACACTCTATTTTCTTTATTCAGTCTATCATTGATGGGCATTTGGGTTGATTCCATGTCTTTGCTGTTGTGAATAGTGCTGCAGTGAACACACATGTACATGTATCTTTATAATAGAATGATTTATATTTCTTTGGGTATATACCCAGTATTGGGATTGCTGGGTCAAATGGTATTTCTGCCTCTAGATCTTTGAGGAATCGCCATACTGTTTTCCACAGTGGTTGAACTAATTTACACTTCCACCAACAGTGTAAAAGCCTTCCTTTTTCTCCACTGCCTTGCCAGCATCTGTTGTTTTTTCACTTTTTAATAATCGCCATTCTGACTGGCATGAGATGACATCTCATTGTGGTTTGGATTTGCATTTCTCTCATGATCAGTGGTGTTGAGCTTTTTTTCATGTGATTGTTGGCTGCATGTATGTCTCCTCTTTGAGAAGTGTCTGTTTATTTCCTGTGCCCACTTTTTAATGGGGTTGTTTTTTCTTGTAAATTTGTTTAAATTCCTTGTAGACTGGATATTAGACCTTTGTCAGATGAATAGGTTGCAGAACTTTTCTCCCATTCTGTAGGTTGCCTCTTCACTCTGGTGATAGTTTCTTTTGCTGTGCAGAAGCCCTTTAGTTTAATTAGATCCCATTTGTCAATTTTTGCTTTTGTTGCAATTGCTTTTGGCATTTTCATCATGAAATCTTTGTAGGGCAGGTATTTCATTTCAGTAGGGAAGGGTGGTATCTCTGCCATCCGAGCCCACAGAGCCAGGATGATCTGAACCTGCTCCATCTTCAACATCCTCCCTTGCTAGTCTCTGTTCTGCCCTTACTCAGACTTCAACCACAATGGCCTCTCGTGCCCCTAGCCTGCCACATGTATTTCTTCAGCCTGAAATGCCCTTCCTGCCTACTTTGTTCGTGGCTGGCTCCTCATCCTTCAAGCTCTGCTCAGATGTCACCTCCTTAAAGAAGTCTTCCCGGCAAGGTGTGGTGGCTCACGCCTGTAATCCCAGCACTTTGGGAGGCCAAGGCAGGCAGATCACCTGAGGTCAGGAGTTCAAGACCAGCCTGGCCAACATGGTGAAACCCCATCTCTACTAAAAATACAAAATTAGCTGGGTGTGGTGGCGCATGCCTGTAATCCCAGCTATGGGAGGCTGAGGAGAATCACTTGAACCCAGGAGGCAGAGGTTGCAATGAGCTGAGATCGAGCCACTGCACTCCAGCCTGGGCAGTGAAGTGAGACTCTGTCTCAAAAAAAAAAAAAAAAAAGAAGAAGAAGACTTCCCCATGCCTGCTAATATGGCCTGCCTTCATTGTTTATAACCTCGTTACGCTGTGTATACCTTTCTTTTTTTTTATTTTTATTATCATTATTTTTTTTTGAGACAGAGTCTCGCTTTGTCACCCGGGCTGGAGTGCAGTGACGTGATCTCGGCTCACTGCAACCTCCACCTCCTGGGTTCAAGAGATTCTCCTGCCTCTGCCTCCCAAGTAGCTGGGACTACAGGCATGCACCATCATGCCCGGCTAATTTTTTGTATTTTTAGTAGAGATGGGGTTTTACCATGTTAGCCAGGATGGTCTCGATCTCCTCACCTGTGATCTGCCCACCTTGGCCTCCCAAAGTGCTGGAATTACAGGCATGAGCCACCACACCCGGCCATGTACACCTTTCTTAATACTGATCTCTTCCTGCAGCTGTCTTCATTCCTCAGCTGTTTGTCTGCTGTCTCCCTCATACCCCTGCCCCCACCATGTAAGCTCCCAGCAGAGATCCCGCCTGATTTATTATTTTAAATCCTCTATGCAGAATGAATCCACGGGGATCATCATGTGTGACAGTCTTTTGCACCCCAGAATTCCTCACTTGTGCTTTGGTCTATTTCTCTAGACATATATTGGCACCCTCCTTGTGTCCGTGAATCCATACCAGGAGCTCGGAATCTACACTGTGAGCCAGATGGAACTTTATCAAGGGGTCAATTTCTTTGAACTGCCGCCACATGTGTGAGTAGCATCCACAAGATCATCACTAGAAGGATTTTTATTTTTCCCCTTCCTCTCTCTCCTTCCTTCTCTCTCTCCTTCCTTCTCACCATGCATCTGTCCATCCATCCATCCATCCATCCATCCATCCATCCACCCACCCATCCGTTCATCCTCCTATCCATCCACATATCCATCCATCCACCTATCCATCCATTCATTCACCTATCCATCCACCTACCTACCTATCCATCAATACATCCATCCATCCATCTAAATCCTTGATGCATGTTTATTAGGTTCTGTACCTCATTTAAGCCCTTGCCTTCTTGTAATGTAAGTCTTCAAAGCAGTAGAAAACTTTAGAAGGTCTTTATGGAATCTCAGCTTAAATATGAAAAAAGGTGGAACCTTTGTGTAACTGCTGAGAAATTTAAGAGTGTGGCTGGAGAGGCGTCTTCTCCGGGAAGAGGGTTGCTATAGTGCCGTCCACTGGTGCCTAAGAAGACTGCTCCTTGGTAGAAACTTAACCAGGGCTGTGGAAGCTTAAGAGGTGCAAATTTCTTTATTCCTCTGCCCTATGTATAACCTATGGTAATAATAATTTGTAGAGGGTGATTATATTTTTAGTACATAACATTTTCTGTTTTATGCAAATTTTTGAAAATACATACTCGCCTGCAGTATGGCCAGAATTTGTTTATATGTAACACTATAAGCTGACAGGGTAGAATTATTCACCTGACCTCAGATCTCTTGTCTCCAAACACCATTTTCCTTCTTAACATGTAACTGACTCTGTAAAAACAATCTGTTTAGATTTCTCATTTGATTTGGAAGTTAATTAAAAGGGACTGAAATAAAAATATACGTGTAGTTAGAGTTTACTGATTAGTTACACATTAATTCAGAGTTTCTAGAGCCATTTCACAGAGGCTAGAAAATATAACCACTTTGATATCAGTTTTCACAAAGTTAAGGACATTTTTAAGTCTTAAAACCTTACCATTTTAAATAATTTCCCTTGTATTTGAAAATAATGTATAACCCATATTATCTGCTAAATAATGCTGTTCGTTTGTCACTATGCCTAATTGGCCAAATTTTCTTTTTTTTTTTTTAATCACACTTTATTTTTTTTGGTAGCTATTATTTTTTATTATTATTATTATTATACTTTAAGTTTTAGGGTACATGTGCATAACGTGCAGGTTTGTTACATATGTATACTTGTGCCATGTTGGTGTGCTGCACCCATCAACTCTTTATATCAGGTATAACTCCCAATGCAATCCCTCCCCTCTCCCCCCTCCCCATGATAGGCCCCAGTGTGTGATGTTCCCCTTCCCAAGTCCAAGTGATATCATTGTTCAGTTCCCACCTATGAGTGAGAATATGCGGTGTTTGGTTTTCTGTTCTTGCGATAGTTTGCTGAGAATGATGGTTTCCAGCTGCATCCATGTCCCTACAAAGGACACAAACTCATCCTTTTTTATGGCTGCATAGTATTCCATGGTGTATATGTATTTGGCCAAATTTTCTAATAGTTATTTAACATTCAAAACAACAACTACCAAAAGAAAGGAAAGATGAGCAATTTTTTCTTGCCCAGGCTTTGCTGAATTTTCTAGTTTTTCTCCCCCTTGACTTCTAGGCTAATATTTAGATTCTACCTCTGTTGTCTTGGTGACTCAGCTATTCCACTTTCTTTTCTTTTTTTTTCTTTTTTTTTCCTTTTTGAGACGGAGTCTTGCTCTGTCACCCAGGCAGGAGTGCAGTGGTGCTGTTTTGGCTCACTGCAAGCTCCACCTCCTGGGTTCATGCCATTCTCCTGCCTCAGTCTCCTGAGTAGCTGGGACTACAGGCGCCCGCCACCACGCCTGGCTAATGTTTTTTCTTTTATTTTTGTATTTTTAGTAGAGATGGGGTTTCGCTGTGTTGGCCAGGATGGTCTCGATCTCCTGAGCTCATGATCCACCCGCCTCGGCCTCCCAAAGTGCTGGGATTACAGGCATGAACTATTCCACTTTCTAAGGCACTCATAAGCCTTTCTGCATCACTGCCATATATATGTTGAGACAGGATCTCGCTTTGTCATCCGGACTGGAGAGCGGTGACACAATAATGGATCACTGCAGCCTCCACCTCCCACAACTCAGGTGATCCTCCAACCTCAGCCTCCTAAGTAGCCAGGACTACAGGCACACACCACCACCCTGGCTAATTTTTGTATTTTTTGTGGAGACAGGGTCTCAGTGTGTTGCCCAGGCTGGTCTTGAACTCCTGGGCTCAAGCAATCTGCCCGCCTCAGCCTCCCAAAGTGCTGGGATTGCAGGTGTGAGCCACCATGCCCAGCCACCACCATGGATTAAAAGCCAAAATGGCTTTGCAACTCTGCCTCATATTCAGGTTCTATTCCTGGGATACCTTCATGCTTTGGTGTCTGATCTTGAAGATAAAGTGCTTCTCATAGTTTTACCTCTTGTCCTAAAGATATCACTGAAGTTTGTTAATCTCTTTGGTTTCCTGCCACTCCATTCTTAGTATTCTAGGTTTTGAGGGAAAAAATACATGAGATCTTATTCTGTTTATTGAATTGAATTATTTAATATTTAGACAAGATTGTTATTTTCACCTACAGTTAATAGAACATCTCTTGGAGATGTAAGTTAGTAGCTGGCTTATTCTTATAAAACATATTGATGGATTAAAAACGTAAATTTCATGAACTTCAAAAATATTTTCAGGCTAGGTGCGGTGGCTCACGCCTGTAATCCCAGCACTTTGGGAGGCTGAGGCAGGTGGATCATGAGGTCAGGAGTTCCAGACCAGCCTGACCAACATGGTGAAACCCCGTCTCTACTAAAAATACAAAAATTAGCCAGGCACGGTGGTGTGCACCTATAATCCCAGCTACTCAGGAGGCTGAGGCATGAGAATCGCTTGAACTTGGGAGGCAGAGGTTGCAATGAGCCCAGATCACGCCATTGCACACTGGCCTGGGTGACAGAGCGAGACTCCATCTCAAAAAAAAAATTCATTACAGCTTAAATTCTTCTTTTAACTCTTCTATTTGAGTTTTGATATCTAGTACACTTTATATTTGATCAGTCAGTGGGTCGTGGTAGAGAGTTTTTTGTTTTTTTGTTTTTTGGGTTTGGGTTTGGTTTTTTGTTTTTGTTTTTGTTTTTGTTTTTGAGACAGAGTCGTGCTCTGTTGCCCAGGCTGGAGTACAATGGCGCAATCTCGGCTCACTGCAACCTCTGCCTCCCGGGTTCAAGTAATTCTCCTGCCTCAGCCTCCCGAGTAGCTGGGATTACAAGCATGCACCACCATACCTGGCTAATTTTTGTATCTTTTTTTAGTACAGATGGGGTTTCATCATGTTGGCCAGGCTGGTCTCGAACTCCTGACCTCAAGTGATCCAACTGCCTCAGCTTCCTGGAGTGCTGGGATTACAAGCATGAACCACTGTGCCCTGCCTATGGAAAGGGCTTGACATGTGTTTGAGCTCATTGTCCTTGTACCACAGCCTGGATGTGGGTGGCTTCCTGGAGATGGAGCACCTCATTTTGCTTCTTTGGTGGGTGTCAGAGTCAAGGGAAGTACCATGAAAACCAATTTGTTTCTGTCTCACTCCTCCTCCAGCTATGCTATAGCCGACAACGCTTACCGAATGATGTGCTCTGAACTAAATAACCATTTCATCCTCATTTCTGGAGAGAGTGGGGCAGGGAAAACAGAGGCCTCCAAGAAAATTCTCCAGTATTTTGCAGTGACCTGCCCAATGACCCAGTCACTACAAATAGCCCGTGACAGACTGCTGCTCTCCAACCCAGTGCTGGAGGTAAGCGGTCTCTGGGGACCAGTCGAAGGGAGTTCCAGGGAGGTCACTAAGTGAGACAAATCCTGTCTGGGCAGGTCAGTTAAAATGGGCAGGTCACTGTTAAGAAAAGGGTCACACAGATAGTGTCACAGTTAAGGGTGTGACCTGGAACTAAGCCATTTCCCCATTTGTTGAATGGGTCTGCTTATAGTACCTACCTTTTAAGACATTCGGGTTTTGTTTTGTTTTGTTTTGTTTTTTAGACAGAGTCTCTCTCTGTCACCCAGGCTGGAGTACAGTGTCACAGAAACCTCCGCCTCCTGGGTTTAAGCAATTCTCCTGCTTCAGCTTCCCAAGTAGCTGGTACTACAGGCATGTGCCATCATTCCCAGCTAATTTTTGCATTTTTAGTAGAGACAGGGTTTCGCCATGTTGGCCAGGCTGGTCTCAAACTCCTGACCTCAGGTGACCTGCCTGCATCAGCCTCCCAAAGTGCTAGAATTACAGGCGTGAGCCACCGCACCCAGCCTAAGAAGTTTTGAGGATTGAGTGAAACAGGTGCACAAAAAGCACACAGCAGAATTAGGAAGCACCAAAAATACTGTATTATTTATTAATAGTTTTCTTATTATTGAGTTAAAATTATTTTGGTTATGATTACTTACATTGTTGCAATTCACCGACTTGCTGGCTGATCCTGAACAAGTCATTTTCTCCTTTGTTTTTGTGGCCCTTTCTATAAATGAAGATGTTTATAGTAGAAGGAATTTTCCCAATGGACCCTTTGAGCAGAACAACGTGATATAAAAAGGGGTCTGGTGATGGGGACTGTCAACCATACCTTCTAGAACAGCATGGGGCTAGGGTTCTATGTATCCCTCCTGAGACCATTTCCAATATATTCCTAGATTGGATTATAGGAAGAAGATATTGTTCCCCTCTTCTCCCCGGGTCCAAATCTAGTGTTTGGCATTAAATTCTCTGTAGTTAGTGATCCCTTCTTAGAAAATAATGCATGCCTTTCCTCCCTGGCTCCTCCTACCCTCTCTCCTCCATTTTCATACTAAGCATATTATTTGGGATCAGGAATTTGACACGCATGGTGAGCTTAAATGACAGTGAATGACACTTTGTATTCCAAGGCTTTTGGAAATGCCAGAACGGTCCGGAATGACAACTCCAGCAGATTTGGGAAATACATGGATATACAATTTGATTTTCAGGTACACTGAAGCTCCTATTACTGGTTCATGGGGACCCCTTATTTTGCCAGTGACGGAACCCAAGCCAAGGCCCCTTAAGGGGAGAATGACATTTATTGGCTCAAGCAGTTTTAAAAAAAAATCCAGAGTTAGTGCTAGTTTTAGGAAATGCAAATAAAGACCACAATGAGATAACATTTTATACCACCTGGATGGGCAGAAGCTAAAAAGTCTAATATATATGAGGTGTTGATGAAGATATGGATCATAAGGAATTCTTACACATTGCTCGTGGGGTGTAATATATTGGGAAATTATTGGAAAATAATGGGGTGTATACCAGAGTTATGATGTTATCTTAGGAAGCTGAAAAAACATAATCTAAGGTGCAACCATCCCGCTCTCAGAGATATCTCAGAGATATCAGATGCATAAGCGTGTCCATAACAGAACTGCTCATCATGATGAGCAAGTAAGTAGACTGAACAGCACCAGCGCATCTGGAGAGAACTGAAATGTCCATCAGCAGGAGAATGACTACATTGTGGTGTGTTCACACCATCAGGCATTACACTGCAGACAGCAAATGAACCACAGCTACACCTCACATGGATGGGTCTTGGGAACATACTGTATGCCAGCGTGATATCATTTTTTTTCATTAAGCTTAAAAATAAATCACAAGGACCGGACACAGTGGCTCATGCCTGTAATCCCAGCAGTTTGGGAGGCCAAGGCGGGTGGATTACCTGAGGTCAGGAGTTCAAGACCAGCCTGGCCAACATGGTGAAACCCCATCTCTTAAAAAAAAAAAAACGAACTACCACAAAAATTAGCCGGGCGTGGTGGTGTGCTCCTGTAATCCCAGCTACTCGGAAGGCTGAGGCAGGAGAATTGCTTGAACCTGGGAGGTGGAGGTTTCAGACAGCCAAGATGGCACCCACTGCACTCCAGCCCGGGCAACAAGAGTGAAACTTCATCTCAAAAAAAAAAGACAACAGTAAACCATATATTGTTTAGGCATGCCTGCTTACCTGGCACGGGGCCAGCACTCTTTTTCGGATACAACCACGATAGTAAATATTTTTTAGGCTTATGTGGAGCCATTCAGCCATACAGTCGAAATGACCCAAGTCCACTCTTGCAGCATGAAAGCAGCCACGGACAATGCATAAGTGAATGAGCATGGCTGTGTTAGACACAGAATTTAAGTGGAGCTAAGGCAACGGCAGGAAAGGAAGGCAGAATTCACAGGGCTCATCCATTCCAAGTGGTAAAATAACCACATGGCGAGAACAGCAGCTGTATGAGCACGGAGCTCAATGTGAGGACAAACTGGCTCAGGAGATGTCCCAGAGGCTGGGAAGTGGGCCTCAGGTGGAGTGGATTTGGAAAGAAATTTAATAGCCATGCGTATTTGAAAACCTTTTGGAGTTCAACACATATACTGAAAAGGCCTGTAAAAATGAGGACAGCCCTCCGGAATTATAATATACAATATCGTATCCGCACCCTCTGTAAAACACCACCCCAGACCCAAACACTAAAATGTCTAGGCATCGTGGCCCGGGCTTTGGTGGCTCGCATCCTGTAATCCCGCACTTTGGAGCCGAGTGGGCGGATCACCTGAGGTCAGGAGTTCGAGAGCAAGCCTGGCCGACCAACATGGTGAAACCCTGTCTCTAATAAAATACAAAAATTACCCAAGGTGTGGTGGTGCACACCTGCTAGCTCCAGTTGCTCAGTGATGCTTGAGGCGATGAGAATGCCGCATTGAACTGAGGATGCAGAGGTTGCAGTGAGCCCAGATTACACCACTGCACTCCAGCCTGAGCAAGAGAGTAAGACTCTGTCTCAAAAAAAAAAAAAAAAAATGATAGCATCTGGAGGCCAGGCAGTGGTGACTCACACCTGTAATACCAGCATTTTGGGAGGTCGAGGTGGGAGGATTGCTTGAGCCCAGGAGTTCAAGACCAGCCTGGGGAACATAGTGAGACCCCGTCTTTACAAAAAACAAAAACAAAAGAGCAAGGCATAGTGGTGCACGCTTATAGTCCCAGTTACTTGGGAGGCTGAGGCGGGAGAATTGCTTGAGCCCAGGCATTTGAGGTTATAATGAGTCATGATCAGGCCACAGCACTCCAGCCTGGGCAACAGAGCAAGACCCTATCTCTTAAAATAAAAATTAAAAAAAAAAATTCTAACATCTGAAAGCTTTTCCTGCCCTTCCCCAACACACTCCCCCTTCCCACTGCCCACTGTTCTGACCTCTGTGATCACAGGTTTGTTTCACTGGTCATTGAAGTGCATATGAATGAAATTACACAGTATGTTCTATTTTGTGCCTGACTTCTTTCAGTCAACGTATCTGTCAGATTCATCCATGTCCTTGCATGTAGCAGTTGTTCACTTTTTGATTTTATGACTATGTCACAACTTATCTGTTCTCCTTTTGTTGGACATTTGGGCTGTTTGCAATTTGGGACTGTGATATATAGCACTTTGAACATCCGTGCACATGCCCTTTAGTAGATTTATATTGGATTAAAGAAGTAGAATCATGGGGTTCTTACCAGCAAAGCAGTGTTAGGATAATTAATGATGGTTCCGGTTGCTCCATACCCTTGCCAACATTTATATTGTTCATCCTTTTGAGAAATTCTGGTGGGATATAGTGGTTTTTCACTGTGATTTAAGTTTGTATCTCCCTGGTAATTAATGAAATTTTGCTTCTTGTCCACTTGAAAGCTTTCTTTTTCATTCAAGTCTTTTGCCCATTTTTAATTGGGTTGTTGGTTCTTTCCTATTGATTTGCAAGAATCTCTATATATTCTGGAATAAAAATCCTTTATTGGATATATTACTGAAAATATTAAGACAGTGTGATATTGACACAAGGATAAAGAGGACAATGGATCGGAATAAAGTCCAGACAAGATCGAGTCCACATGTACAGTCAGCTGACTTACAACAAAAGCATCACTATGATTCAGTAGAGACAAGATCATCTTTCTAATAAATGGCACAGATTAACTGGATATCAACATGAATAAAAAGACCTTTGACCACTCCCCCTCTCCATATACAAAAATCCAATAGTGATGGATCATTATCCTAAACAATCAAGCTTCTAGAAAAAGACATAGAAACTATCTTCATGATAGTTTCTTGGGGTAAGCAAAAATCTTTGTAAACAGAACCCAGGAAATACTAATGATAGAAGATTGATAGGTCCAAAAAAAGAAGATTGATAGATCAGACTTCATTCCAACTCAGAACTTCAAGCCATCAGGAGATGCCAGGAAGAGATTTTTGTTGTCACTGCTGCATTTTTTGTTCTGTTTTGAAGGGCATCCCTGTAGGTGGGCATATCATCAGTTACTTGATAGAGAAGTCCCGAGTTGTCTACCAAAACCAAGGCGAGCGGAATTTCCACATCTTCTACCAGCTGCTGGCAGGTGGTGAGGAGGAGCGCCTGGCTTTCCTGGGACTGGAGCGAGACCCCCAGCTGTATAAATACCTCTCACAGGTGGGAAGGACCAGCACCTGGCTTTGGTGACTCTTTGGACGAGGGAATCAGAGGTGTTTATACGGGCTGCTGTAGGATGTTTGAGACGTTCTATTACCATTGTGCTATGTGTCCTATTGGCTAATTTCTTGATATATGTATATATCACAAGTAATCTAACCCATCTCCTCTTGTGCCTGGCAGCTATATCACCTTGGTAAAGTAACCAATGTCTAGGCAAGTGGTTCTCATCCCTGGCTGAAACTAGAATCACCTGAAGAACCCTTTAAAAACACAAATGCCTGGGCCATACCCTCCAGAGATTCAGATTTCACTGGTCTGGGGTAGGACCTGGGCATTAGAATTATTTTAAACGTCCTCCTGGTGATTTAGTGTACAGCCAAAGTGAGGAGCACTGATCTGGGTGTGATAGAAACTCACCGTCCAACTATATCTAAAACCTATGCTATCTCATTCTGCTTTCAAACTACTTTTTTTTTTTGCCTGTAAACGCGAGGCACTGTTGGGAGGCCGAATGGGCCAGATCTCCTCTAGCTTCAGGAGTTTGAGACCAGCTGGACCAACATGGAGAAACCCTGTCTCTTACAAAAACACAAAAATTAATGAGCATAGTACTCCGAGCCCTGTAGTCCCCATGCTACTTTTGAAGGCTGAGACGGGAAGGAATCCTTGAGCCCCAGGGAGGTCAAGGCTACGATGAGCCATTATATTATGCTACTGCATTTTAAGCCTGGAAGACAAAAGGAGACCCCCGTCCCAAAACAGG